CAGTGGCTTAGAATGGTCTAGACTGCTGGTGCCTCATTCAGCAAAAGAGGACAAGTAATACTTTGGCTGAAACTGTTAGACTACTGTACAATGAACAAGCTATATATCACAGAGTTTGTGAAAATGTCTTTGAGAAACTGGGGGCCAGACATCAAGACATGAGCAGATGCATTCAGCAGACTCATCCAGATCTGTTTTAGCCATTTCCGTCACGGGTAGGTTTTATCCGGAGCGAGCTGTTTACGACCTCTGTGTGTGTGCGAGTCTAAGACGATAGCGCGGGGGCAGCTGATGGGTAGACAGGTCAGTGTCTACAGAGCAGTGGCATTTCTCTAATTGGCACTTGTTATGGCGAGTATGAGTCAGTGCTTTATTGTTCGTGCTTGACGTAATCCATCATAGCATCAGCACTACTCCACAAAATGTCACAGTTTTGCTCTCATTCACACAGTTGTTTCATAAATTTCTGATATCTTATTTTAGTGTAAAATTTGAAACAAGTTGGTGAAAAATAACGTTGTTTCTGTTCCTCCTTTTTTCTTTTCTGAACGTGCTTTATGATGGTCATATATTTCTCTGCCAATGTGGTGTGTTTTCATAGTAGAAGAAACCTGTTAAATCAATTGCCTCAGTTTAAGGACTCAAGCCCTTCTAGCTTTGCCTAATATTGTAATGTTTCTTGATATGATCTTGTATCCCTTCCAACTGTTATGATAGCACTGAATTTCCAATTTTTTATTGAACATTTTGTATTTGTAATAATAGAAATGTTTGAGAAAATGTTCTGGTGATTGATATCAACAGTTGTTAGTTTAAGACAAAAAGTCTATTATGAGTTCCTTCTTCTTAGATTTTAGATCATTATCAAGAATCACAGTAACGAGTGACCCAGTGTGTAATAAAGTTAACTGAAATAGAATACAGTATTTCCAACACAAATTGTCTTTTCTTTTGTTTCAACAAGTCTGAAAATCAACGGCAGAAAAGAGTTTGTTGTTTTTTTTCTCCCATGGGTTGTGATGTGTTATCAGTTCTGTGACATGATTTTCTTTTCTTTGATTAAAAGACTTATGCAAAACGAGCTCTGTGCTGTGTGTTTTGTGGCAACGCACAGCATATAATGACGGCACAGCCAGTGGCTTAACAAGCAGGAACGGGCACAAAGGAAATGAGATTTCGTCGGAATCAAATGGTCAAATTAAATGAGGGGAGGATACACACACACTGCACAGCAGTAAGATGTGGCAACCTCTAATAAACAGAGTGGTATTTTCATGTTTTCTATCTTTGTTTTGTTGTGTTTTGGTATATTACACATGTAAGAAAGGGAAAAAATTAATAAATAATAGTTCAAAAGCTATTTAATTAGCATAAAAATGTGTGATGTGTATTAAATCTACCATGAATGAAAAGCCTGCAGGCTACTGAGAGACTTGGGCATAGCGGGAACAAATTTACTGCTCCTAGTTTTCATCCTTGCCTTTGAAAACATGACACCCCTTCCCTGCTGTCAGACCAGGAGTTTCCTCTTCATGGTCAGTCTGTAGATGATTTGGTAGCCATCGTCCCAGCCATAGAGCTGTTTCTCCTCAGGGTTGTATTTCAGACTAGAGTGAGATCCATATCTCCTCGGAAAGTAGAGCAGGGGAGCCTCCTCGCTGACCACCATGTCGTTGACGTCAAACACGCACTGAACCCGAGACCGGCTGGCCAGGCGGGTGTTGTAAACGAGCATAAGACAGTCCCACAGACTACAAAAGCCGCCTCTGCGTTCTCCCGTGGGCAGCGGGTGTCCCAAATTTGCTCTATGTCGAGCGTGGCAGGGTCCATCTTTGCGAGGTGGATGTTTGGTTCGCTGTCACTGGGGGCGTACAGGAGCCACAGGCCCTCGTCGTCTGCTGCGAGGTCCGCAACAGTTTCTGGGTTGAGGTTGTAAACAGTAGCTTGGCTCTCCACAGGGAACATGGCAATG